TTAAATATATTGTATTATCTTTTCGATGATTGTTCCTAGTGGCTTCTTACAGCATGCCTGCATTTTTCTGAGTATTTCGTGCAGTGGCTTAAAAAGGGATGTTTGTAGTGTGATGATTATTTTTAATCGTTATTTGAACCTTGTACATTGGTATCTCCCCTTGACTTCTGTATTATTTAGAACCAGGCTTTTGTGATGTTGTCAGAAACTTACCCTTCAAGGCCAAGTTGCAGGTGGTGGTTTGTCCCTCTTCCTACGTTAGTGTTAAACTCTCAGCCTCATAATTGTTTCCTGTGATGTAAAATGCAAATTGAAAACTTTGGTATCTATTTTTCAGTACATATATTTTTCTTAGAGTCAGTGTTTAACTCTTTGCAAAACTTGTGTTAATTATTTTTCAAGTGTGAAGTAAATTTTGACCTTCCGTATATTTTAACTGTACTTTCTCATTTCAGCTTTACTTTCCATGTTCTCTTCACTCAGCGACAAACTTACCTTTACCACTGTTTTTCGATCCACTGTTTTGCATAATTGATTCTCTTTGTTAAAAATAGTGGGATTCGCTAGATTAGAAATAATTTATTCCTAGTGTAAATCTACTAATCCAGGTCTGAGTTAACTACATTCCTTAGTTTGGTGTGAAAGCAAAAGGCTTACTCTCCAACTACAATCAGTGCTATCAATTTTTAGAAACTAAGAATTCCCTCAGAAATAACTATCCTATATAAATCAGGATTTTCTAGGAGCTATTAAGGGGCTCTACTAGATTATATAATGTGTAGAATGAATTATTAAATTCTATGGATGATGTTATTCAATATTACTTTCTTATTTTAATGTTTGAAAACGGAATTATATTTATTAAATTAGAATGTCAGAGTAATACCTAACACTGTTTCTCCCTCACCTGAATCCCCCCTGCAGTATAGTGTCAATTAGCTGTAAACACGCTTATTTTTCAGTGCAACTCAGGAGCCTCTAATGGAATCCTGTGGCAAAGTGAAGAATCCTTTTATAGACACAGTACAGATGTGTCAAAACCGTTTATGGCTTCATTTATGCACGTGAAAGTACTACCGGACTTGAGAGCCTTGACAGAAAGTTCTAGTTAAAATCATTCTGCTAAGAACGCTGCTACCACTTGCACATGTCAGTAATGAAAATTATCAACATATGCATCTTTGAAAAGCAGTTTTAGATCATTAAAGATGTATGAATTTTGACAAAGCAAGCCGACTTGAGGCTTATTAAGACTGTGTTGGGTCTCTGCGTTGAAGGGGGAGAGGTATCTGTGCCTCCCTTCAAAAGGAAGGTGTAACCTAATCGTAACTCATGAAAAATTAAGTGGGTGGGACAGGAAAGACTCGGTCTTCATCCTGACTGTTCCTACCAAGCTTTTGTGAGAAACGGAGCCTGTCTCTGTAGGAATCCTGAGAAGAAGCAGGACCCTAGAACACTCCCTAACGGACTGGCCATGTGGCCCATTATTGCCCACCTTGCATGTAGTTACAGGCTGCTGAGGAATCATTTTCTACACAACTTACCTTTTTTTTAACTATTTACATTGAAATTAAATTTGCCCAAGGATTCTCAATTTCTTTTTTTCTTTTTCTGCTTATTTATTATCCATGAGAATTTGACAATTTGTAAATGTGCAGGTCACTTGAGAGAGAAGGTACCCGAGCGGATGTCTGGGTTTGTCTCTCCGGTGGGAGAGAGCCAGCGTCAGAGACGACAGGTGTTTTCTCCAGGGCTTGTGTGGTCGCTCCTGCCCTTCCCCTGTGGAGCCCTATGAAACTGCTCTCTTCAAAACAAACTTTTAAAACAGAATGATTTTCTTACCACCACTACCCCTCCCAAAAAATAAAATTTTGATTTTGTGTAGATCTCATACTTGTAAATTTCCAAAATTCTTTAGCAATAAAACATCAGTTCCAATTGCATCACCCTCCGGGGGGGGGGTATTGTGAACAGTCTGGTGAAGGTAGCGGTAGTTGACCTGCATATACGCCTTGAAAATGCGGAGTGTTTCCTGGAGTCGTGACTGCATTTGCTCAAACGTGAATCTATTGCATTTTGAGAAGCTCTGAGGTGCATCTCTGTCGTGTGATGTGAGTCTCATGTCAGCCGCAGCGACTCGATTTGCATGTAAATTCTGAAAATTTCCTTGTCCCATGTGACACTTCTGAAATGTCTGTCTGTTCTTTTCTCCTTTTTAATTTCTCAAGCTCACTATTTGGATAAGATAGTTAAAGGTACTGTATACTTGCTCTTTGTTGATGTTCCTACATATATATCGATATAACCATGTATTAGATTGCACTAGGTGTAAACATAGGTTGTTTCTCATGCATAGTTTTGTGAATTATGAGTCAGGCTCACATTATGTGAAATGCCTTGGATTTAAAGCATTGAGACTTAACTGTTTGTGTCTCATTTTTATAATTTTGGGTTATCACAGATTTCATTCCTATGTAAAAGGGCTTCATTGGAACTAAAAAAACTGAAGATAACAGTACATTTGCTGTTTTTTGTTTACTTTTTATTATTTTTCATTTTTGTTCTGAGATCTTCATTGTTGGCAATTCAGCTAATGAGCTTTAAATCCTAAATTAAAGTGTCACAGTTGCTCAAGTCTCTTATCACAGAATAAGGAATTGCCAATCTAAAGAAGATTTTGGTTAACCTATGTTGAGAGAAATCCCATTGATCCTCACATGAAAATTCTTTGGCTTTTTCTAAATGTCTCAAAAATACATGNGCAGTGTCAAAAATAAACAAAAAACCTCATTTCATCAAGACAATTTACTTCCATCTATGGGAAAATTGTCATGTGCTGGCTTTCTTAGAACAAAATACTATTATCTGAGTAAATATCCTTCATGTGTTCAGTGTCAAAAAAAAAGTTTATTTTAGAATGGTGACTTTTTGGTAAACATGTTATATGCCTATAAATTTGAGCAATAGGATAAAAAGTACAAAGGAGAAATTTGTTTTTTAAAAGGAAATTAAAAAATTTTTTTTAAAATAAAAATTTTTTTTTTTTTTTCTTAAAAAAAAAAAAAAAAATATATCGTGCATTCTATAAAATAAACAGTAACCTGGCAGAAAACAGCAGATTCTCATGTCTTCAGTTATCCTAGAAATAGGTGAAAAGTCTTTTTTCCAAAGAGAAAAATTCCCTTTCTTCTAGATTACCTATTTTCTATTCCTTGTTTGTGCTTTTCATTAGAATATGAAAGTATTCATGGCAATACCCAGGCTTTCATATAATAACTCCTGAGTATACCCAGTCAGCTGCTTCATCTCTTTGTCAGTGGGGCAATTCAACCTTTCTTTTTCCTTAAAAAACAAAACAAAAAAATCCATAAAGAAAATTCTCCTTTTACGTATTGAATAACCTAGAAATGCAGACAATAATTGTCTGAAAGAAAAGAAGCAGCAAAATTAATCTCATCTCGACTCGATGGTACCCATAAGTATAGTTTTATTACACCTGCCACAAGAGACTGCCAAAATATCCTTCTTTCTGTTAACTCTAATCCTAAGAGACAGAATATCTCTTTGAGATACTTTCAAGTCTCTCACTGGAGGAGGGGAAGCCAGTATATGAATAATTCTTTTAATGCAGACATAAAATAAACATCTTTAAACAGATTGTCCCCTTAAATTCTATCCCCAAAACAAGAGTAGCATTCTAATTATAAGAAGCACTATAACAAACCCCTATTGCTCTAGCAAATATTTTTTACTAATATGTATTTTACACCAAATTATAAATAATTCTGCCCAAAGAGATCTGATTTATAACCGATTATTCTCACAGTTTCAGAGCATTTATAGCCTTGTTTCTGTCAGTGTCATGTCAAACTCATAGACCAGAGTCTACCTAAGTGTCATCCTCATGAACAGCTCATGTTGGCCGCATGCCAGATACCATCGTCAGGAAATGGCAAAAAATTGTTTTTTTTTAAATGTCATGTTAGACTGAAACAATTTTAGATTTCGGATATATTAAATCATTTTAATTGTTTCCCAAATTTTCCCTCCTTGCCCATAAAAGCAGACAAGATAGGATATAAAGGTAACAGCATAAAAGCCTTAGGGAGATTGTCACCAGACATCACTCTGCTCTGTCTTGAAGCACGTCACTACCGTGTTTTTGTTCAGTCTATCAATGTTTTATTGTGGTCCTTATGGTATTTCATTTTGTCCGTCCTAAGTACTCAGATCTGCACAGCTATTACATTTAGTTGGAAATCCTGTTGGTCCTGTCCCATCCGTATGCAGCCTGAATCCCGATGTCTGTTAGAATAGACGCTGAGCTGCTTCACTCTCTCCCGGGCTTCGCTTATTCTGTGACCAGGAATGTACTCTTGGCATAAAGTATAGTCACTAATCCTGGCCTATACTTTGTGCAGTTATTTAATGCACTGTAATTTCACATGAATACACGGCAACTCTGGGGCCAGATGAAATTAACGTTCTCTTTTTAGCATCACGCATATCCCCATACCCACTTTCATGCTTTGGAACTGAGAGGGAGTTTTTTAAAGCAACAAGGTGCTTTAAGAAGCCATGGCCTAATGTGTGACCAGTAATGTTTGCAACAGTTTACAAATCTATGCTAGGGATTCCGAAATTATCGTATGGAGATGCTTTTTTCACACTGTGCAATCAACCAGTCAACCTTGTTGCTTTGCTAAAGGAAAAAAAATTGAAGTTAATTTTGTCTGGCCTGCAGCTATCTAGTGGGCCGTTGCATATATTTCTGTCCTGCCCAGGTAAGTGGTGTCTCAAGGGTCAGGCCAATCAAAGATGCCACTTGGATGAGAATTAGATTCCGTGGATAACGTTGCTGCTTCTATCCATGTGCAATTACAGTATTTGTGCTGTTTACAAAGGCCTGTTCCCACTCAGTGTCCCTTATCTGTTTGTTTCAGGTGCAAAAACTCTCAATGCTCAAATCCCGCATGTTCTCCTTCTTTGTCTCTTGACAGAGGGCTGTCCCGGCCTGTGCAACAGCAATGGCAGGTGTACACTGGACCAGAACGGCTGGCACTGTGTTTGCCAGCCAGGATGGAGAGGAGCCGGGTGCGACGTGGCCATGGAGACCCTCTGCACGGACAGCAAAGACAATGAGGGAGGTAGGAGATGCCGGGCCTGAGAATAGGGGGGTGTGGAGCACGGGTTTATAAGGTACAGAGAGTTACCTGTTACCCCAAAATCAGATCCCCATAGATTAGATTGATTGAAAAATGTGTCAGTCCCGATAGAGTGATTTTGATCCGTGTGGTTTTTTTTCCCAAAAGGCGGGGTAGCAGAGCGATTGTGTAATATGCATCGTTTCACAGCATTAGGGGCCCTGTGAGTTGGGAGCTCGGAAGCAGTATTTTAATAACCAGAGAATAGGAGAGATGCAGGGCGTCTCCCAAGCGCTCTGTTGAAAGGCGTGGATGATAAAATGATGCAGAGCAGGAAGCGGTCCCCTGGAAGCTGCACTTCCGATGTCGTCTTATCCTTAACGTTGCGCCTGTGGGAAAGATTCTGATCCTCACCCACCAGGGGCCCTGGGTGGAGAAATGATTCCTTTCCCCGAGGTGCTGCTGTATTTTAGCTTCAGCCTCTGGAGAAGGAGAGGCGGCGACTCCTCCAGGGCCGGGGTAGCTGCCGATCCTGCGGTGTGGCCTGCGGACGGGTTTTTAGAAAGGCTTCTGTTCCCAGCGGGGCCGCCGAGGCCGCTTGCTCTGCGGGTGCCGTGTGTTTCCCACGCCCTCCTTCATCCCGCCTGCTCTGTGGGGACGTCCACAGGGCAGCCGAGTGTCTGCTGAGGTGCAGGTTTGAGTCAGATCTTCTCCCCTGCTCGGAGGAGTTCAGTGACCCTACACAGATTCGAATCTCTCTAAACTTCAGTTGCTTCACCTGTAAAACAGGAATAAAGGAGGTTCTGAAAGGATTACGTGAGGGAAGGTCTGGGAAGTGTTTTGCATATTGCCAGGCACATAGCGTGGTGTGGAGAGCAGCTGTGGTCCAGTTTCCGCCGTCTGCTTTCAGGAGCACTCATTTGTCTAATGGCAGTTCAGACAAGGTTCTGAGACGATGGAACAGCCTTTCCTTTCTCCAGAGAGGGGACCTGACTCCTAACTCCTGCTCTCTAGGAAGCAGAGCGACCAAACCCAGCCCTCAACCTGCCCCCATTGCCCCCAACACACACATGCACACACATGCACACACACACACACGCACATGGACACACACGGTCACGCATGTACTGTCCTGGGCCCACAGTCATTCTCAAACCAAATGTTATTTGTGTACCATCATCCTGACAAGAATCTGCAATCTCCCCTTTAGTTTCGAGCAGACTGCTCAGTTCTCCCAATTTTCTTTTCACCTGGACATCAAGAACTTGAGCCACAAAGCCTGAGCTAAAGCCTCCTGCCCGTTCTGCTCCTGACAGGCCTAAGAGGTCCTTAACCCTCGCAGCCCTTCCTGCTAATATCCTAATAACCCCTAGTTGCCCCAACCCCTCTTAGCCGGCTTGGTGGGACCCCAGCGTTACTCCTCAGGGCCACGGCCCAGGTGGCAGCTTCCTCCTCACTGCCCCCAAACCTCCACCCCGTTGTCTCTGTTGCTGCTCCTCCCTGAACAGATATCTTGGGGTTCATCTTCTAAAGGGGATCACATTGAGTAGGGCACAGACCCTCAGAGGGAAGCAGATGGCATGGCCAGGTCCACAGAGACGCAGGAATAATCTAGGAGCTAATCAGCTCTTCAGTATTGTCCTCAGCTACGGAGGTTTTTCCCTTCCTGAAATCTGTCATCTGTGAATTGGCCTCTTTCCCCCTCGTTTATTCTGATTAGCATGGAGCTGTGCTGTCCCACGCTTCCCAACTCCACGGGACATCAGAGCGGCTGGAAGACCTCCTGGGTTTCGCTGCTTATCTCATACCATTTGCATTCCTGTCCCGAACCAAATTCCATTGATCTAAGAAGGAGTCCCAGTGCCACCTCTGAGATTGTAAGCCAGGCTCCGAATAACCTGAGCTAGAGGCCTTCTTTGACTGAGGCGTGGGCTGTGGTACAGAGACGATGGTCTCCAGGTCACACACCACCCCCCAGTCAAGATGCACAGCCTGGCGACAACGGGATGGTCATCACTACATGAGGACAGCCAGAGAGTGTTTCACAGTGAGGACAGGACCCGCAATCCTATGACGTGTGGTGAGCTGTACCGTTTATAGATCCATTGTCTAAATTTAGTTTGCTGTCAGGATGGTGAATGAGCCAGAAGGTGGCTAAGCAGTTGGATTTACACACGATGGGACTAAGGGGGCGCTGAGGATGAAGAAGTTGTCTTGTCTCTCGTCGTCGGAAGTGAAACACGCCGTATAAATAGCCGCTAGTCTAGTCTTAGCAGCTCCATAAGACACAGTCATTGTAAAAGGAAACAAAAGAACAAAGGAAGTTGTTTACTATTCCCAGGACTGAATAAGTTATATTAAAAAATGTTTTAGAAAGAACAGCTACACATAGGGAAACAGTGAAGTATTTTTTCTTAGACCAAGCATCTTCCTTCCGCTATAAAACATACCAGACCCACTTCCCCCCATGTCCGCTGTTAAGGTAAAGGCCCCCACAAGCTGGATCTCTCTAACTGGATGCCCACTTACCTGTAGCACCCACCTCCCCTTCATGTCTCTGAAATGCCAGGAGTGGCCGCCTCCGAAGGGCGCCCTCCCTCTGCTGGAGGGACTTCACTGTAGCCACCCTCTTAACACCTCCACTAAGACCTAAACCTCCTGTCCAACTGGACCTTGTTTTTCTGAGCCTCAAGTAACAGCTGTCCTGTACAGAGGGTCACTCTCGCTTTTCAGAACTAAGGGCAAGCCTGTACCCGCAATAAAGGCCCTGACAAAGATCCCCACTCTGCGTGGAACCACCAAGGCACCTGCCCCACCTGCTTGTCAGACCTAGCGCCAGGTGTCAGAGGCTGATGGAGCTGGTAACTTGGACAGAGGCAGGCAGTGGAAGAGTAGACTTGTGTTGTCCTCACCTAAGGATGTCCTCACCTATTGATTTTAGAGAGATAGGAAAAGAGGGAGGATGGAGAGAGAGAGAGAGGGAGGGAGAGAGGGAGAGGGAAACATCGACTGGTCACCTCCCATACATGCCCAACCAGGGACTGAACCCGAAACCTAGGTATATAATCGAACCTGCAGCCTTTTAGGTGTACAGGATGATGCTCCCACGAACTGAGCCATGCAGCCAGGGCTGGACTAGTAGGTTTTTAAATCCCACAGTGAAGGGCAGAAACTGTCACTGAGATAGTTGCGACACCATCTCCCAGTGGGCATGGAGACACTTTGGGTGCATCTTCAGGCTATTCTGTCATCGCTGAGGGAGCTTTCAGAGCAAACAATCAACAGTACCTGCCTAGACTTGGCCTATAAATATTTCTTCTTCAACTCCCTCTTTACCTACAAAGTCAACCTCCCTCTAGATGGAGCCGTTTCTGGTTCAGATCCCAGAGCTCACTCTGATGCTGAAGTTCCCCAGATGAGAGAGAAGACAGGAAGAGCTGGGAACAGGTCACCATTAAATGCCATGTGATCTGGAGTGGGCTTGAGGACAGTGACCCTGCACTGCCACACTCATTACTTCCTTGAATCCCTCTTCTGGTCGACAGGAAAGTCCTTTCTAGAAGGTTCTATTTGTTATTCTCACCAGGAAAGACTCTTGGGTATACATGATACACACGCCACTCAAATGGTCTTAAGCTTTAAAAAAGAAAAACATTATTAGTGCATATAACACAGCTTCAGAGCTGGCTGCATCTAGGTATTCAAATGACGAGAGCAGTAACTTGGGCTGATTCATTGGTCAACTCTGCTTTATTCTGTGTTGGGTCCATTCTGACAGTCCCTCCCCCACAGTGACCACACCAGCTCTATGCTTACATCCCATCAGCAGAGCAACCCCAGTACAAGGCGGACTCCTTTTTCAGTGGTCATATGAGGCCAGGCCTGGGGCTGACTCTCATTGGTGTGAATTGGGTCACTTACCCAAAGGAACATCACAGTCCTGTCACCCGAAGAAAGGGTTATGCATGTGTCCTGGGTAGGTAGAGAAACAGAGTCCCCTATAGGGATAGCCTTAGCATTTCATTGTAGTATAACCAGACGATGTACTTGAATAACTATTTCACATGGCTAATAGACTTCCATTACTTTCAGGAGGAATCTTCTATTCTCTGTCTCCATTCTG